TGCCCCGCGCCTGGGGTTTGTGCCTCCTGACGCACGCGAGGGCTTCCGGCTGGGGGCTGGGAGCCGTGTCCGCCGCGGGGGACGGAGTTTGGTTCCTGTGCTGGAGCTCGGTGTGCGCTCAGGGGATAATCGATCTGTGTCTCCGGACTTGTTCTGTGTGTGTCAGATACGGAGTCTTGGTAAACCTTAAGAACGTGAACAGCTTTAAACGCCTTCGCGAAACCTTTCCCCATAAGGCTGTTGGCACGCGTGCACGTGCAATGTGCGCTTTGTGACGAGTTACTCCACAGCGCTGTTAGATGTCCTTCTTGTCCTAAGGGTGACCTCGTGACGCGGCTGCTGTGAGGATCTTGCTGATGCGACTCCCCCTTCAGGGCTTTGGTTTCCTGTCTCGGGGAGACTAGCAGGGTCTCTGAGGTCGAGGAGGTGTGCTTGGTTCACAGCCGGGGCTCGTGCGACCGTGTTGGCTCACGGTGCAGACCTGGGCCTGTTTCGGGTCGCCTTGGTATCTCCCCACTTAAGATCCTTGTAAAGTCAGTGATGGAGAACACGGGTCTCATTTTCTGGAATCTGTGGTACGTTTCTCCAGGGAGAAGCAGCAGGGTCTGTGTTTATGTGTTTGTTTCCGACCGCACGTCGCTCTCTGAGGAGGTGTCGCTGTAAGGAGTCGGCTGGCTCGCGTGTGGAGACGGACAGGTTCCCAGTCGGAGAGCTGCGCCCTGGGGTGGAGCCCAGAGCCCGTCAGGCTGGAAGAGCCAGTGTCCCGCTGAGAACCCAGCAGGCTGGGGAATTCTTTTACTGGGGGGAGGGTGGCCTTTCGTTCTCCTCAGCCCTTCAGTGGCTCGGACGAGGCCCACCCGTCCCGCGGAGCCCAACAGGTGCCGTTCCGTCAGCTGACGGCTGCGTTAGTCCCTCGCAGAGACGCACCCAGGAGCCCAGCCGGCCAAGGGTCGGCGCCCCTTGGAGTTTCCCCTGAAACTCGCGCCACAGGCCGCCCCCGTCCGCTCCGCACCCGCACTCCTGTCCTCCAGTGACGACTTCATCTCACCGTTTCCCTGACGGGACGATGGCTGTCCTGCGCGTGCCCAGAAACGCGCTCCCCTTCCTCCCTCGGGAGGTCCTGACGCACCGCGGAAGCGGCGTGTGTCTGCGGTGCCGCGGTGCGGGGTAGGAGGGGTGGGGGGGCGGCCCAGTGTGCGCTCGGGGCTCCCTGACCGGGCGGGAAGGGCCCTCGCCGAGGGCCTCATGCAGTCACTTGCAGTCCCTTGTGGTCGCGGCCGATGTTGTGAGTTCGGGGGCGTCACTGATGGAGGTTTGACGCGCGGGCTCCGCTTCTGCAGGTTCTCTCTGACGGTAGCATCGTGAATGTATCTTAGCACGTTCCGGATGTTGGGTTGTGCAGTGCAGCAGCCGCAGCGCGCAGGACACGCGACTCCCCGGGCCCTGCTGTGGGAGGGGTCGGCCGCTCGCCCGCGGCTCAGGGTCCGTTCTCCTGCGCCCCTCCCCTTTCCTCAGCCCCGAGAGACGTCTCCGGCGGCTGCGGTTAGTGTGTCCGCTGGGCTGGGAGAGCCCCGTCCGTGGTAGCCTGGTGGGTCACGTGGCGTCGTCTTGTTACAGCTTTATCTCTAAAACAGAAGAATATTGATCCTTCTTGAAGATGATGCATGCTCAAGACTTGGGAAATGCAAACGGGGTAAAGGGGGAGATAACCAGCATTTGTCTTGCTACCAAAGAAAAATCCACTGTTCACGCTTTTCACATGCTGTGGCTGTAGTGTGTTACCTAAGTGTTCTCTTCTGCCTTTGTCTAAAGCCTGAACCTAACGGCCCTTTAAATATGCACGTTTGAAAAGCTGTTTACCACTTCCACTTTTGGAAAGTCTGGTTATTTTCAGTTTTCAGTATATAATTAATGGCTTGAATTCTCTTAGTGCAGTGAAATATTTTCTCTTTGAGATGAGTGATTTCCCTGAAATAGAACTGCTGGGTTGAAGAGTTTTTAAAAATTGATTGTGTGTAGTTTGGGGCTGAAGATTTTGCAAGGTCACGGGACATACTCCTTTACTGCTTTTTGAAAGGGCACAGACTAGTAACAGCCAGTGATGAGCTCCTCGTAAAGGTTCACCTAGTCTCACGGTGGCGGCTTTTAACAACATAAGCATGAAATTAAAAAAGAACGTGTTTCTTCATATCACCGTGACTGTTGTAACGAAGACTTTTCATTTTCAGGCTTAAAGTTTTATAACTTTAATATTTGAAATTATGTAAAGTTTGATGAGTAAAACAACTACCTGAATTGTCGAAAAACATTTAGGCTGTGTGGTTTAAAAAAAAAAGATAAAAGATTTTTTTAGGAAAAAAAAAAAAAAAAAACAAAATAAACTGAAAATCCACTGGCCTTCTCCTCCTCCTCCCCTTCCTACTACTTCTTCTTTTTTAAAAGATTTTGTTTATTTATTTGACAGACCGAGATCACAAGCAGGCAGAGGCAGGCAGGGAGAGAGGAGGAAGCAGGCTCCCCGCTGAGCAGAGAGCCCGATGCGGGGCTCGATCCCAGGACCCTGAGATCATGACCTGAGCCGAAGGCAGAGGCTTTAACCCACTGAGCCCCCAGGCGCCCCAGCACGAAGGATTTGATTGCTGTGTGAACCTCAGAAGTTAGGACTGAGTACACTAGAAGAACAAACCCAGCAGGATTCCGTGGAAATGCAGTCTCAGGTGCAGAGCAGCGGGGCTTAGGGACTCCTGCGTGGGTCGTGAAAGTCTAAAGCTGCGTAAGTTCTTCCTGATGTCCGTTTCTTAGAGGAGAGTCAGAAATTGCACAGTGTGTTTAAATTGCATTCGTGACGTTTGTTGCTTCACATGGGGGTGGAGGTCAGGGTGGCTGTGGCAGAATTGGGAACTGCATTTGGCTGTGGTTTTAATTGAACACGGTGAGTCTCTGGGGAATTCACGAAGTGTGAAGTAGGTTTTTGTCACGTTCGTGATGGACTTCGTGCACACTTCTGTTACAGTGGGCTGTAGGCCCAGCCCCGTTATGAAGAGTACGTTACCAGCGATCTTCCGGAAAACGATTTTGCGGAGGACAGCATTTGCTGTGCAGTGCGGGGGTAGAGCCGCAGCACCGGCAGTCTGGGTTAGCGGTTCTCAGCCGGTGCCCACTGTGACTCTCACATGGGTTCCTCGGGGGCCGATGAGCCACGTCTCCACCCTGGGATTGCACAGAGGCCTTCTTCCCCCTCCGGCACCTTCCCCTTCTGATCTTTGAGGAGGGCCCCAGTAACCAGTCCCTCTGAGCGTGTCCTTCAGGGCCACCTTCATGCTCGTGGCATTAGATAGAGCAGACCAGCCGATTTTTGCTGAGAACCGCTCTGAGAGGCCAAGACTGCCCGTGCTCCTTCCTTGGCCCTATTTTGAGCTTCTTGAAGCCGCGCCTCAGCCTTGCCTAGCCGTCTCTTCTCACTGCGGCGCTCCGTGCGTGTCTGCGAGTCAGGGCCGAGTTCACCGTGAAGGTCACGTATGTCCGTGCACTTCAGTTGCATGGTGAACTCCATTTCTGCGTGGGGCTGGTGCTCCCTGCGTGGTCACTCTGGCCCGCTCGTCCAGAGGGTCGTCCAGAGAACAGATGCTTGTTCTGTAATTTCTGTGCGGGCGTGGAGCGTGTTTCTGGTTCTCTGGCATGCGTTTTTTTCTTAGTGTTCTTCAGGATTCCTTGTTTGATTTCATGCAGAGCCCCTCAATTTCCCTGAAAAAAATATAACACTGATTAATTCACAGAACCACGGTGCACTTTAAAAAAGTCTGTATAATTCTTGCATTTTTAGTAGGTGCCCATTGATGGATAACCAACAAGGTATCAGGGCTAATCTTATTTTTATTTTCAGGAGCATTCGGTGTGTCTAATAGGACTACCGTGCCTGTCTGCATTAGTAACTTTCTGTTAAAGCGGCGCACATCGTTCATGTCTGCCAATTAGCATTTATTCATACTTGACTTTGACTAATCCTTTATAAATTTTTTTTTGAGATGTCAAGTTTACAGAAAAGTAGATGGAATTCTTAAACCCCATGGCCCAGAATCAGCAGCTACTAAATTTTGCCTCACTTGCTGTGTTCTGTCATGTAAATTAATATTAAAATAATCCATTTTTGTTATTTCTTAATTACGTTGGGGAAGGTAACCCAGGTCCCATGGCAAACAGTTACCTGAGGGCGAAGCCCCTTAGTCTTTGCGTTGGTGGCAGCAGGGACAGTGCCGAGTCGGACTCACAGGCCACACTGAAACAGCTCCTGAGAGCCCCTGGGCAGCTGGGTCAGTTAAGTGACGGCCATGGGCTTACGTCGTGACGCTGGGCTCCTTGCTCAGCAGCGAGTGTGCCGCTGCCCCTCCCTCTGCCCCTTGCACCACAAATGCACGCAGGCACACTCACTCTCACATAAGTAAAATCTTAAAAGGAAAAAAAAAACCTCCCCTAAGAAACGCTTAACTCTGGGTCACAAACAAGTTCTGGGGGGGGGGGGGGGGGGTGGGGGATGTGCGGACTGGGAGATGGGCGTTAAGGAGGGCAGCGGTGGATTGGGTGCTGGGCGTTGTGTGCGGGTGATGGATTCTCTCTCTGAAGATTAACAGTACACATGGGTGTACTGTTAAATGCAAGTTAGCATTTAAGTAAAATCTTGACGCGAGAAGAAGAAACACCAGCTCCTTGTGTGAGTTTGGAGTGCACGAGCGCTCCCGGTTTTCACGGTCACACAGTGATCATACCAGCGGTCTGGTTATGTGTCCCTTCGTACGCTCTAGCTCTGGTTGACTTAAACAAGCAGGTGAAGCTGCTGGTTATCGATGAACTTGGCTGTTCTCCGGACCAGCGTTGGTCCACGTCCTGACGAGTCTCTTCCTGGTGGAGGAACGTGGTACGAGGCGGTGACCCGTTTCCCTCCGCTGCAGCTCTGCCGTGCAAAAGTGAGCTGAACTGCAACTACCTCTGTTTGTTTCTAGAAGACCCATTCGAGGAATTTTTTGGCAGTCGAAGAGGCCCCCGTGGAAGCAGGAACCGGAGCACAGGGTCGTTTTTCTCCGCCTTCAGTGGATTTCCGTCTTTCGGAGGAGGGTTTCCGGCTTTTGATTCAGGTATGAAACCCTTCGATCTGACGTCCGGTCTGTGGCCGACGTGTGTGCCGTTCAGTTTCGGAAGGAGCGTCTGTCCTTCTGGTCTGCGTGGCCGTGTGCGTTGGCCGTCGTTTCCTGTGTACCAAGCCTGTACTCAGTAACCTGCGTTTTCCTCTCTCAGCTTCCCGAGAGTGTTTGACTTGCAAATCCGCTTCTCATCTTACTACTAAAGGTCAACATTTCATGAAATTCCTGGTTAAAAGAAGTCACTTGATTTGGGGTAAATAATTGTGAAAAATCCCATGTATAGACAATCTCCCTGAAACCTTTTTTGTCTGATCTCCTCGGTCTCTATAAGAACAAGAGTCTTCTGGGAGGGTCCATGCTGAGACGAGAAGGGGGCTCTGACCCTGTGCAAGCGTCCTTGGCCACGCAGAGCGTGGCCCGAGGGGGTGACTGCGGCCTTGCCCTACAGCGGCCGGCAGCTTGGTGGCACGCCTGTGACTCTTGAGTTTGAGCCCCATGCTGCGTGTAGAGATCCTCTAAAATAATAAAACCTTTTGTAAAAAAAGGGCAGCTCATCAACCAGAGTACTGTGCATGGGGCCTGATGTAGTGATGTATTTTACCTGAGAAATTAGGATCTTTTCTTGGAAGTTCGTATAGCTCCCCTTCACAGAGGAGCTCTTGCACCTCCGGATGCTGGGACTCCTGCTGGAGTCGCTGCGTGGTAGGCGTTGGCCGTGCTTGTTCAGAGCGCCGCCCTACGGCCTGCCGCTCGGCCGCCTTCCCGTCCCGCACGCTGCCAGCACCGCGCAGGCGAACGCGGGTTCGATGGCGCGTGGACACGCGGGGCTGCCGCACACCCTTGCCTGGGGGACCACGCAGCGCGCTGCGGGTGAATTTGCTGAGACTCGAGGGAGAGTCCGAGAAAACCAGTAGAATACATCAACCAAACGGTGCTTCGCTGAAGAAACGTGTGTTTCTGCCACGTGTGGATGCAGACCTTGGAGCAGCCCTGCAGTCTCCTGTACAGGGGGCTGGGGATTTGCCCTGGCGGGAATGTCTTCAAGACGGACAAGCAGTAATAAGCTCCGGAAACACGCCGGTCTGTTTCAGAGATCGGTCTGCTCTTGTGTGACTTGAGGTCGGGGGTTCTGGCCTCTGGTGTGATCGCCGTGATTGAGAACGTTGTGCACAGGTGAATTCTGTAGGCCCGTGCTTTTGCAGTAAGTGTTCGCAGCTAAAATTGTTTGCGCTCTTTAATAACTCAGAGGCCCACCCCTTCGCGGTCACGCTGCGAGGAGAAGGTAAGCAGGTTGGCTGTGGCGTCCTGCGCTGGCGGAGCCGCTCTGCTCCTGCGGTCTCCCCGGGCCCCTGGCCTCCTGCTGCAGCGTGCTGCGTGGTGGTGGCTGGCCAGCTGCCGCCAGGTGAGCCGCCAGAGCGTGCGGCAGAGTGCTGGCGGGGGAGGGAGAGGAGACCGCATGGAGAAGGGGCGCGTCTCGGGCTCCCTGGCCTCCAGAGGAGCACGTGCCGCCCCCCTCGTGCCCGTGGTTCTGGGGCCGTTCCGTGCGGGCAGCGCTCTCCTTGGTTTGATGCGTCCTTCCCGGCTTTCCTCACTGGTCCCTGACCTTCCCGTTTCCTGCAGGATTTACGTCCTTCGCATCACCGGGTCACGGGGGCCTCACTTCGTTCTCCTCTGCGGCATTCGGTGGCAGTGGGATGGGCAGCTTCAAGTCTGTATCGACTTCTACTAAAATGGTCAACGGCAGAAAAATCACCACAAAGAGGTACGGCGCTCACGTGTGCCTCTGAAGTGAGCAGCTGTGCCCTCCGGGGCGCCACGTGTCTTCGGCGGGTGCTCGGAGCGTGCAGCGCGGGTCGAGTCTGACCCGGGGGGTCCTCCGGAGTCTGAGTCAGAGCTTCCCCTCTGAACTGCGGCTCAGTGTTTCTCCAGTGGAGGCGGTCTTTGCGCGGAGCCGCGTTCAGAGCGGGACAGCGTAGTGACCGTGGAGCTGGAGAGCGCGGCCCGAGGGTGAGAGCCGCGCGCACCGGGCCGCGCTGGGGACGCAGCTCGGTCTGTCGGGAGGAATGCACTTGAGGGAAGAACCGTCGTCTTTAGGTTGCTCTGCGCTGGGTTCTTAGTCTTCCGCAGGAGTGGTTTCCTGTGTGCCGGTGGCAGTGCCGCCGTTTTAAAATAGGCAGGTAACGCTCAGTGTGTGGACTCTAAAAAAGGTCTGCGGTGCGTTTTCTCTTTCAGAATTGTGGAGAACGGTGAAGAGAGAGTAGAAGTTGAAGAGAACGGCCAGTTAAAGTCCTTAACGATAAATGGTAAGGAGCAGCTGCTGCGCTTGGATAACAAGTAACCAGGCTCGCGCGTGGCCGGAGCGCGAGCGGTAACGGGCGCGCCGAGGACCGGCACGAGCGCTTTTTTGGGAAGATTTCAAACGAACTCCACTTTCAGTATAATGTACCTAGTCTGAAGTATTTATACACAGCTCGCCGGAGCCCTGTTTGTCCTAGACCTTTCTTGTTGGGACCACATAATAGGACCATTGTTTGGGGGTTTCTGTTTTTGGTGTTTTTTTTTGTTTGTTTTTTGTTTTGTTTTGTTTTTGTTTTGTTTTCTTGTCTTTAAAATTGTTGTAAATCTCTGTATGCACTTTGCTTTTTTATTAAACGTAATCCAAGGCGGCCGTGACTCTTTCGTACACTAACACCAGCACGGACCTGCTTCCCATTGTGTTTGAAACGTGAGCCGCTAGAGTCCGCCTGCTGTGAAGTTAACATTGCCAGGATGAATCTTCCACAAAAATAATTTCAGTTCTTCTCAGTATTTAGTAGTGAGAGATATTAATGCATTAATGGTGATACATTTCTCGTTTAATAATAAATTGAGGATGTTTTTCTAGTTGTGCATGAATGCTGGCAACTTAGTAAGATTTGACAATTGTTTAAATATGTAATGTTAAGCTTAGGTTTAAAGTAAAGCTGGTAAACTGGGTCTTTGTCATTTGCTTTAAAAAAAAAAAATAAATGCAAATGTGTTTGGTGCATTCTTTCCTGAGTGGGGCCTGTAGCCTTCTTGTGTCCGTGTATGATTTTTGTGCCTGGGCCTCCGGTGTCGCCTCGCCCCTCTGCGGTGCTGTTCCTCGCGGCGGACGCGAGTGACCTGCGTGCGTCTTCTCGGTGTTTTCCGAGGGGGGTGGAGGCTTTCCTCTGTGTCTCCTTTAAGGACGAGCAGTTCGTTGAAGCTTCTCCTGTGGTAACATTTTTATGGGGAAGGAGGAAACCGCTGTGCAGCTTTTTCATTCTTTCCAAGTGGGTTTTAGTTTTCTAGCGTACGTTTCATGCCGACTCTCGTAAAGACGTGACGTCATGGGGTGACGGAGATGTGAATGTGAACAAAACTGAAGGTCTTGTTCTCGGGCGCGTCCAGTCTGCCCCAGTCAGCACTGACAGCTGGAACTGCAGCCACAGGGGCGTACACTGCACGTGCTTGCGTCTGAACGACCCCCACTCAGCTTCGTTTTGGGTAAGCCTAGGGGCCTGCCGGAAAGACAGGAGGGCCGCGGGGTAGTTCCTTCGTGACACACAAGTTTCTGTCTGTGCAGGCCCGATTGGAAGGCAAGTGGAAATTGCCCAAGGACCCTAGAGTCTTTACAGAATCAAACCTGCTTTCGTTGAAAACGGTATTGTAGAAAATCCCACAGAAAATATAAAAATCAGTGCAAAATGTAGAGTAAGTTATTTTTTTTTTTTAAATTTTTGTTTGACAGAGATGAGTACCAGCAAAGGGGGAGCAGCAGGCAGAGGGAGAGGGAAGCAGGGTCCCCGCTAAACAGGAAGCCCGGCGCAGGACTCGATCCCAGGACCCTGGGACCATGACCTGAGCTGACGCCAGCGGCTTAATTGACTGAGGCACCCAGGCGCCCCTTAGTGTCCGTTCTTAAAGACAGCTGAACTGAGGGAAGCCATGGAAGGTGCTGGAACGTCTGGAGAAGAGAGGCGCGGAGATGTGTCACACCGAGAGAACGCTTGTAAGTTCGCAGACTGGAATTGTGACAGCAGAAAGCCCATTTCGGTTTAGGCTGTTAGGGTAGATGGTTTCTCTGGTACGAGAAACTGCAGTCGGTACCTGGAACCGAACAGACGTGGCGTTGACCGTTGTCGTTAGAGGTAGGTGGGGTGACGGTCTCGTAGGGACATCGGGCTCCTGGCTAATCTGTTAGAGTTTCCCCGGGGGCGTCGCGCTAGAGCCGTGGCTTCCTGTCTGCGGACCTTCGGGGGTGGCCGAGACTGCTGGGTGCGCCTCTTGCGGTCAGCTCTTGCCCACGATGCGTGCACGGTACAGGCAGGAGGTCTTGGACTCCAGGGCCTTCCTGCCGAGCTGGGCACATCCCTGTCCAGTGTTCTCCAGCGGCAGTGGAGCGCGCGGCCTTTGTTCTGCCCCGGGGGCGTGGAGAGCAGTGTTGGTTTTATGAGTCTGGGAGCGGGGTGGGGAACTCCCGTGTCGCAGAGGACGGGAAGTGTCTCTTTGAGCCCGGCAAGACGCCTCGCGGCCCTGTGCACGCCGCAGCAGTGCTCACGCGAGGACGTGCCAGAAGACGTGCCCGCCAAGCTTGTAGTGCGGGCTCCGTCCGCTGGTCGGTCCCCACGCTCTTCCGTGTTTCTGTAGCCGCGGGGGCTTTTGGGAACAGGCCGTGGGGCGCCTGCCCTGCCGTGCCTGTGCCCTGAGTGCACCGTGTGTCACACGCTGTGTCCTGTCTGCTTTGTGCTGCGTAGCTGTCTGGGGGCGGAGGTCCTTACAGTCACTGAAGACGGGACGGCGCAGTCTTGATGGGCGTTGGGCTGCTCGTTCCCCGGTGCCCCTGTGGCCGTCCCTCAGTCTGTCTGGTCGAGCTCCGATGGATTTTGCTTCCTCTCGCTGTCCTTCGCCGCTCAGAGGATCCAGAGGCGAGTTTGGAAACTCGGTAACTATGATGAGGGCGATGACGATGTTAGTGGCTGCGTGAATGGGCATTTGTCTTTCTTCCCCTTTTTGACATTCTTTGAAGGGCAAATTGTAGAAGTCTGTGCAGTTAGCTTTAGGTTTATTGAAGTTACTCTAAGAGTCTGTGTGACTAGTCTGCTGACGTCTGTCCACCCCCTTTAAAAAAATTCTGTATTTGAAAGGGAGCACACAGGCAGGGTGAGGGACAGGGAGAAGTAGGCTCTCCACGGAGCAGGGAGCCCAGCACAGGGCTCGGTCCCAGACAGATGCTGGACTGAGCCACCCGGGCGCCCCGGAAGTCTGTTCCTTACAGAACGGCAGAGCTCCAGGGGACATAAGACGGCATCTTTCCAGTCATTGTCATTTCTGTTAAGCGTCTCCTAAAGGTTTAAAATTTCTCCTTGGTTACTTGGCTCCTAGCTATCATACCCGCTTCAGGGACTGCGGTCTCCTTTTTCTTTGAAGCGATACATAATTACTGAAAGTATTTGTACTTTCCGAGAACCCAGCAGCCCTTTGGAACCGGCCGTGCTGCTGCTCTGTGGAGGCGAAAAGCAGCCTTCAGCACGTTCGATGTGGCCTGGAGGTACCCGCTACCCTCTCTGGTGGTTTTCAGGCAAGAATTTGCTTAGTAAATTGAACACTTGATGCTGTGTGGTCAGGAGGGGTTGACCTATACGACCCAGTGGCTTACATTTAAAAAAGAAAATGAGGTTCTGATAACCAGCTTGTGTGTGTCTCTGGTCAGTAACTTGTGTGTCGGGCGGGTAAATGATGCAAGGCCTTCAGGAGACACAGACCTTCGTTTTTCTTCACCCCCATCTCCTGTGTCTGTATGGGTCGTGCAGTGCTTCTGCTTGGATTTGATTTGATTTTTTATTTTTATTTAAAGATTTTATTTACTTATCTGACCGATCACAAGTAGGCAGAGAGGCAGGCAGAGAGAGAGAGGGGGAAGCAGGCTCCCCGCTGAGCAGAGAGCCCAACACGGGGCCGATCCCAGGACCCTGGGATCATGACCTGAGCCGAAGGCAGCGGCTTAACCCACTGAGCCCCCCAGGCGCCCTCCGCTTTGATTTTAGATACATTTCCCAGTCTGGTCACATGGGGACCTTTCTGTTGTTGCTTGGTCAGCTGTGAGGAAGCCGCGGTTCCTTGAGCTGTAGCGGGTCGCGTTAACTAGATGTAGACCTCGGTTAGAAGTCTGATTAACAGTTGGGATGGTGATAGGCCAGATGGTTTTCCTTTTGGCTAAATGAGTTCCTACAGCTTGACCTCGAGGGGGTCAAGGGAGAGAAACTTAGAACAGTTCTTAATCGTATCAGAAACGTTGGTCACAGTGATCCCTGATGTGCGGAGACCAGGACTAGCCGGGACTTCAGAGTCTCACTCGCTGGGGGAGAGGTGGACGTGGGCACCAAGAGGCCCATGAGCTCGCTGTTTGCCCTTGGGTGGCACATACTTTTTTCTTGTCTTTGTGGTCAGGCAATCTCAGACTCCCTGGGTGGGTGAATCATTAACGGGGGAGCCCCCAGGGGACGATTGGTCTTTGCCCTCGTGTCTGAGCATTTAGAAAACCGAGGACTCTCTCCCGAGGGCAAGCGTCCAGGACTAGAGGCACTTTGGGTGGCACCGCTGTTGGCGCTGGTGCTTGCGGAGGAAGCCCGGCATGGCGAGGGCAGTCCCTCTCTGGCCGTCCTTGTTCGTCTGGGACAGCAAGGGCTCCTTCATGCCAAGTAATCACGAGGTGTGGTGTGGCAGGGCTTGAGCTACGTCTTGGGTTGACAACATTTCTCTGCTGCGTGGACCCCTGCGTAGTAAAGGGTCAGTTCCCGAGTCTAGGAAACGGCAGTGTATTCCGTACGGGATTGAGGCGTGTGAGGGAGGGGTGTCTTGCCATCGTGCCCCTTTCCCCACCCCACTCTCCTCTCTTGCTGACCGCTGGGGACAACATCCTGATGCTGAAAGCGTTCCACACGTGGGTAGGAAGACACGGGACACAGGCCTTTGTGTGCGAGTGGTAGGGAGCCACGCCGAAGGACCTTGGAGCTGAGATGCCGCCTTGGTTGGGATGGCTCCTTTGTTCGGCTGCTTGGGGAAGACCATGTTATGGCGCGTGACCCTGTGCCCCGCGCGGGCCCTGCCCCAGAACTGGTGCGGCGGGGGCAGTGGATTGTAGTGCGTTGGGTGGACGCAGTCTTCCCAGAGGCAGCCCGACGTGCTGGTGGGAAGGGTGGCCCGCACAGGAGTATGGCTCCCTGCGCCGTCGCACTGTCCTCACCCAGGCATGCGGTGACACTGCGGTTGTGTGTAGTCTGATGCCTGTGGGAGGCTTGTT